GCCACAAAATATTTTTTTTACAGAGAAAATTTAAAAATAATTAAAATTCTCATCTTGATATTATTTTTGTACTACAAATATTTTTTTGTTACATTTTCGTAGTAAAAAATTAAGTAACTAATAATTACCGTAAAACAGGGTTATTTCGCTCAGTGCGGGTAAAGTCGCTCACCCATTTTTTTGCTTTAAATTTGATTAAAAACTAAAATTTAGTATTTCTATTAACAAATTTAACATTTTTACCTGCTAATAAAGGTATTAAACTTTATTTTAAAGCTGAAATAAAGCATAAAAGTGGGTGAGCGAATTTACCCGCAATGAGCGAAATAACCCCGTTTTACGGTACGTTATTTAGTTAATTAATTTATTTACAGAGAAAATTTGACAAAAAATTATTTTCTCATCGTGATATTTTTTTTGAGCTACCAATAAATTTTTTACAAATAAAATTTTAAAAAAATTATTTTCTCATGGTGAAATTTTTTCTGTGCTACGAGTAATTTTTTTTGTTAATTATATTCTCATCGTGATATTCTTTTAGGTCACAAATAATTGTCTTAAAAAAATTTTTTTTACTACGAAAATTTAACAAAAAAATTATTTTTTAATGGTAATATTTTTTTTGGCCAACAAATTTTTTTTTGTCAAATTTTGGTTAAAAATAATTAATTAACGAATTATTAAGTATGACATTATGTTATTAATAATTATTTATGATATTAATTATTTATTAAGTTAATTATTTGTCATATTTAAAATAAAATAAAATATCTAATAAAATCAAATTTTTCAAATGTTTCCGCGCTGCGCTGATGGCTCAGCTCTGGACTTAAGTTCGCTCAACGCCACAGGGAGGGCGAACATCATAACTGTTTCTCGCAGTTGAGGTGCTATTAGATTGGTATATAAGCAGTGATCGAAAATTTTTTTTTTGTCGAAATTTTTTTCTGCCCGATGTCTCTCCTTTATTGGATTTGAGACAAATTCTTTTTTGGAAGAAATGGTTTTACTAATATTTTGATGACCATTTTTTTATTTTAATTAAAATATTAAAAATAAAATAATAATAATAATAACTATTAAAAAATAATAAAAATAAATTTTTTTTTAAATTATTATTAAAATTTTTAATATTGGATATTGGACTTACTAAATTACTAAATAAATAATATTAAAATAATTTTTGCAACATCGTAAACGACGTAGTAAACGACGTAGTTTGCAATCCCAAATTCCGCTTTCATTTACGACGTCGTTTACTATGTCGTTTTCTACGTCGTTTACTACGTCGTTTACTACGTCGCAAACTACTTAGAATACGACGTCGTAAACGTGGTCGGAATGTTCAACTGGGCAAGAAAAGGTGATTATTAAAATTAATTGAATTGTTAAATATTATTTATTAATTAAAAATTAATAAATTACCTAATGAAAATTAATTTTTAAATAATCTAATTTATATTAAAATAAATCGTAGAAATATGATTTCTGGTTAAAGAATGCATCCTAATATAACAATTTCCAATTCCACGTAATGCTATAAATGGTTCTATGATTCAACTACGTATACTGTCAATTTTATAGCATCTGCATTTAAACGGTTGTGAATATGCCGTTTATTATAACAATAGCATGTGCTATTAAATCGAAAGCAATTTATTATAACAACAGCATGTGCTATTAAATCGAAAGCAATTTGTATTGTTTCAAATATACTTTTATACAAACTAAAAACACTATTTTTTAATAAAACAACTTTGTTATTTAATTAATAAGTACACTTATTTGAAATCAAATAATGTTTCTTTGACAAAAGAAATTCTACTTTCATCACAACTACTTAAAATGTTTCTATAGAGAACATTAGGATTTTAGTTTAAAATCATAAATTGTTCTACTTTAATATATTTTAATTTGATTCAGAAAATACGTTATTGTTTCAAAAAAATTGTTTTCAATAACATCGATACTATTGAATCAATAGTGCTTTTTTACAGTGTGTTTATTTCAAACAATGCAATTTTTAATCCAGTTTAAACACGTATTTACTTATATTAATGTTCTTATTTTTTTGGTTCAAGAATATTTGTGTTAGATTAAGAAAAAATTGTTGAAGAGGAAACAAAAAAATGATTTGATTCAAGATGGTTACATTTAATTGGACAGATAAAATAAAATATTTCAATTTTAAGAAAATAATTCCCAGATAGCACAACAACACAGGCACACAAAAAAAAAAGTTGTCTGTTTCTTGAACTAGACATATATTTCCTATAGTATTTTGGGCCGCTGAAACCGAATCTGAGCTCAGAATTGCTCCATCACCCTCAGTTTTTTTTTAAATCGACCAAAACCACCCTTAAACGGACAAATTCACACTACGGAGATAAAAAATAAATCAACTTATTTTTTAAAAAAACCGAATTTTACATCTACGAAACTTTGCTCCACTAACTGAAAAACAAAGCCAGCATTGATCCAGCACCCCCTGAATTTTTTTAATTGAAAAAACTACCCCTAATCTGAAGAATCAAATTCAGGAGATAAAACAACAAAATAACTGATTGACAAATTTTCTAACCAGATATTTTTCCTCCAGCAATGCAGAAACAAAGACAGAAATGCTCCCTCACCCTCTAAATTTTTTTTAAATCGAAAAACCACCCTTAAATAGTACAATTCAAATTTAAGAAGTAAAAAAATATTATATTACCGGCTTTTTTTAAATACAGAACCTTACATGTATGTAGTTTTGCTCTACTAACTCAAAAAATAAAGCCAGCATTGATCCATCACCCTCTGAATTTTTTTAAATCGAAAAAACTACCCCTAATCTGAAGAATCAAATTCAGGAGATAAAACAACAAAATAACTGATTGACAAATTTTATAACCAGATATTTTTCCTCCAGCAATGCAGAAACAAAGACAGAAATGCTCCCTCACCCTCTAAATTTTTTTTAAATCGAAAAACCACCCTTAAATAGTACAATTCAAATTTAAGAAGTAAAAAAATATTATATTACCGGCTTTTTTTAAATACAGAACCTTACATGTATGTAGTTTTGCTCTACTAACTCAAAAAAATAAAGCCAACATTGATCCATCACACTCAGAATTTTTTAATAAAAAAAACTACCCTTAATCTGAAGAATCAAACTTAGGAGGTAAAACAATAAAATAACTGATTAAAAAAGTTTATAACCAGGTATTTTTACTCCAGCAATGCGGAAACAAAGTCAGAAATGCTCCCTTCCCCTCTAAAATTTTTTTAAATCGAAAAAACCACTCTTAATCGGAGAAATTCAAATTTAGGAGATTAAAAATTAAATAACTGACTTTTTTAAAATAGAACCTTACTATATCTATGTATTTCCGCTCCACTAACTCAAAAACAAAGCCAGCATTGATCCATCAACCTCTGAATTTTTTTAAATAGAAAAAAATACCCTACCTACTACTTAGGAGGTAATACAATATAATTATATTGTATTACTTCCTACGTTTGATTCTTTGGTGGTTTTTTCCATTTAAAAAAATTTTAGAGGGGAAGGGAGCATTTCTGACTTTGTTTCCGCATTGCTGGAGTAAAAATACCTGGTTATAAACTTTTTTAATCAGTTATTTTATTGTTTTACCTCCTAAGTTTGATTCTTCAGATTAAGGGTAGTTTTTTTTATTAAAAAATTCTGAGTGTGATGGATCAATGTTGGCTTTATTTTTTTGAGTTAGTAGAGCAAAACTACATACATGTAAGGTTCTGTATTTAAAAAAAGCCAGTAATATAATATTTTTTTACTTCTTAAATTTGAATTTTACTATTTAAGGGTGGTTTTTTCGATTTAAAACAATTTTAGAGGGGAAGGGAGTATTTTTGGCTTTGTTTCTGCCTTGCTGGAGTATAAATACCTGGTTATAAAATTTTTTAATCAGTTATTTTATTGTTTTACCTCCTGAATTTGATTCTTCAGATTAAGGGTAGTTTTTTTTATTAAAAAAATTCAGAGTGTGATGGATCAATGCTGGCTTTATTTTTTGAGTTAGTAGAGCAAAACTACATACATGTAAGGTTCTGTATTTAAAAGAAGCCGGTAATATAATATTTTTTTACTTCTTAAATTTGAATTGTACTATTTAAGGGTGGTTTTTCGATTTAAAAAAAATTTAGAGGGTGAGGGAGCATTTCTGTCTTTGTTACTGCATTGCTGGAGGAAAAATATCTGGTTATAAAATTTGTCAATCAGTTATTTTGTTGTTTTATCTCCTGAATTTGATTCTTTAGATTAGGGGTAGTTTTTTCAATTAAAAAAATTCAGGGGGTGCTGGATCAATGCTGGCTTTGTTTTTCAGTTAGTGGAGCAAAGTTTCGTAGATGTAAAATTCGGTTTTTTAAAAAAATAAGTTGATTTATTTTTTATCTCCGTAGTGTGAATTTGTCCGTTTAAGGGTGGTTTTGGTCGATTTAAAAAAAACTGAGGGTGATGGAGCAATTCTGAGCTCAGATTCGGACACACAGCCCAAAATACTATATCAAATATATGTCTAGTTCAATAAACAGACAACTTTTTTTTTTGTGTGCCTGTGCAATTTGCAGCAATTCTTCAGCAAGTTTACAATGCCAAATTTGTTAGTTTGCAATGTAAATTTGCTGCAAAACTGTGGCAAATAGCTATATGTCCACGCTTTGCGAAGTTTGCATTGCAAGTTTGCAGAAAAATTTTACATACAATTTGCAAAAAATTTTTATGGCAAACTTGAAGAAAATTTGCTGATAATTTGCTCAAGTAGATGCATTTACTTGATTCAATTAACCTGTTTTTCAGTGTACACATCTCTGTCTAAAAGTGTAAGTGACATTTTGGCGGATACAGCACTGTTACAGCGCACCATTCATATATTAAAACTTCCTCTTTCTTACTGAAAAACATAACAAAAAAATATAAGTCCAGAAGTTTTGACTCAATTTCTGTTGTACTAAATATTTCTTTTATTATTTTACAGAAATCTACCTGTGTAGGAATATTGATAGTAATGTTCATATTATTTGTAAGTAGATACATAAGATGGACAAGAGGAGCGATTATTCTTCTTGTCATAGATTTAATTATTGTCATCAGCTTTTTTATGACTTGGTATCAACTCGTTAAGGTAATTTAATATTCAATGATATTTTCATCTAAATTCAATTTTTTCTTATTAAAAATACAATACCGTCAGAAATTGTGCAACCTCTGCTTTTTCGACGACTGTAAAGTGATTTAAATCTACAAAAATATTAAAACTAAAATTTTTCCTTTTTGTTTTATAAAAGCTAATAAAAGTCTGAATGAAATAACACCTTGAAGAAGAGAATATGTTAATTTTTCAATTAGATATCTAAGAAAAACCCAATTTTCAATTTTTTTACTATTTTTTTCATTTCTCTGGAAAAAATTAATATTTTTAAACGTTTTTGGGCTTATTGGAATCTTATTTTGTTATACAATTCAAATTATTTAAAACAATTCATGCCCACATTTTTCCCTAGCATATGCAAACCATGAAAGTTGTCTCAAAAAAAGTCAAAAAATTAAAGTACAATTTTACAACAAAATGTAATGTTTAAAAATCAAGTAAATAGATCATCTTAAACTTCTCTGATTCATGTAAGTAAATTTCAGATTTACATATTTTACTAATCATTTTTTATCATTTAAATATCAATCATAATTTTTTGACTTTTTTGAGCCAATTTTCACGGTTTGTATACGCTAGGGAAGAATGTAAACATGAATTGATTTAAATAATTTGAATTGTATAACAAAATACGATTCCAATAAGCCCAAGAACGTTTTAAAATATTAATTTTTTCCAGAGAAATAAAAAAAATAGTAAAAACATTGAAAATTGGGCTTTTCTTAGATATCTAATTGAAAAATTAACATATTCTCTTCTTCAAGGTGTTATTTCATTCAGACTTTTATTAGCTTTTATAAAACAAAAAGGAAAAATTTTAGTTTTAATATTTTTGTAGATTTAAATCAATTTATAGTCGTCGAAAAAGCAGAGGTCGCACAATGTCCAACGGTAGTGTACATACATAAAAAATATTTATTCTTTTAGGAAGTTGAAATAAAACAAACAGCTAAGCAAATGATGTTCTCTAAAATGCCCATTGAATGTCAACCAGAAAAAATGAACATGATGCAATACATTATGTCAAAAGTTTCTTTCCGTAAGTACAAATTTATATATTTTATTCAAATCTATCTCTATATCTTATTGAGTGCTGAAAGTTTGTAACACCTCTGAAAATTTTGTTTGAAGGGGTTAGTACCACATCTTTTTTCAAAAAAATCGAGTTTCTAAAAACTGAAAATTCTTGTAGTAGATATATGTAGAAATGCTATGGAAACTATTATTTTGGTTGGAAGCTTCGGTAACATATCGAAAAACGGGGTACAATGGAGCAATTCCATGGAATGTGATCACAAGAATTTTTGATGAATGGAGCAATTTTATTGAAACCTTGTAAATATGTTCCTTTATTTGTACAGAATGAAAGCCCACAAACAATTTTTCAAAATTTTTTGTGATATCTCTAATTAAAAATGTATGTCATTTTTAAAAAAAAACCATGTTACTTTTTTCTTATTATATAAATGAGATCAATTTTTTTGTGGTTTTCTTAAACAAGACCACTAATTTTCAGTATCAAATTCGTAATCCCTATGAAATTCTGGGTTCAGACATGTTGCATAAGTGCCCAAAATATTGGTCCCAATGTCTGAGATTAGGCCCAACATTTTTTGACGAACAAATAAATAAATTTTAAAAAATCTTATCTTTGGGGCACAATGTGAGACCCACAGTAAAAAAATTAGTTTCCATCCATTTCGTAATCGTTATGAAATTCTGTGCTTAGACTTGTGGTACAAATTCCAAAAATATTGGGCCCAATCCCAGACATTTGGCCCAATATTTTTGGCATTTGCACTACAAGTCTTGACCCAGAATTTCATAACGATTACGAAATGGATACTGGAAATTAGTGGGTTTTATTTAAGAAAACTGATTTCTTTACTGTGGGCCTCACATTGGGCCGTGGAATCTTACATTGGGCTCTGTGCTCGATTTCAAAATTAGCTTCGAATTTCTAATCCTGTGACCCCAAAAACCCCCCAAAGATAAGATTTTTTAAAATTTATTTATTTGTTTGTCAAAAAATGTTGGGCCCAATCTCAGACATTGGGACCAATATTTTGGGCACTTATACAACATGTCTGAACGCAGAATTTCATAGGGATTACGAATTTGATATTGAAAATTAGTGGTCTTATTTAAGAAAACCACTTTTTTCATTGTATGGCCCAACAATGGGCCCCGGCCCAATTTTTTGGTCTTAAATATGTAGATCTTTCTGTTTGGAACAACTTTTGTCTTAAACATTTTTTACGAAAATTCGTACTTTTTGAGATATTTGCAAGTTTCCATACTATATAATGGACGTGAAAACTAGGATGCGCGCGTACCGTCGCGCCGCACGGGACGTCTTAATTTTTTTCTCCCAAAGTTCTTGCTGTCCATTATGAAAATTAGAGAAGTTATTCTTAACATCATATGCATTAAGTAGAAAAAAAAATTTTTAAATTGAAGAGGTAGTTTTTTCAAAAAATGAATTCAAAATTTTTTTTTCTTTTTTCAGGGCAAAAAAATTTTTTTTTCATGAACTATTTTTTTCTTAAAATAGCATTTTTTTGTGAGAAATTTGAAAAAAATTGATCTCATTTGGATAACAAGAAAAAAAGTTACATGGTTTTTTTTAAAAAATGACATACATTTTTAATTAGAGATATCTCAAAAAATTTTGAAAAATTGTTTGTGGGCTTTCATTCTGTACAAATAAAGGAACATATTCACAAGGTTTCAATAAAATTTCTCCAATCATCAAAAATTCTTGTGATCACATTCCATGGAATTGCTCAATGTAAAAGTCACGCGCTCACGGAGCGTACTCTTTGCGCGCCCAATCTATGCTTTTATATATAATTGTTCCTATATAAATATATATAAAACTACACATATATGTATATAAATACATATATAAAATGTATACATGTATATAATATATCCTGACGCGTAAGGGGATATTTTTTTGAGAAAGGGCATATTTTCGTAAATTCGCTTTTCCTCAAAACAACGTTTTTTGACCCTGCGGACATCATAACTAAAATATTGCACCATTTGAGCTCAAATTTGTATGGCTTATTCTATACATATACCGCTATCGTCGGAACTATAATCATAATTTTTTATTAATATTTAACCATTTTTTAAACAATTTAAGTTGAAAAAACAGAGTCAAAAATTAAAAAAGTCTGCTATTTTGTTTTTTTATCGAAAATAGTTGATCGTAGTTACGACGATAACGACAAGCTTACTTTTCCAAAAAAAACTAAAAATTTTATTTTTCGATGATCTGAATTGTAGATATTATGTCCGCCATTCACAAGTAGTAATCCATAATAAATAAGGAATAAAATTTTTTTTCAATAGTTTAAAACCCCTTCTGTTAGGTATCAAAAATTTGAAGTAAATAAAATAAATTTTGTAATAAAAAAAAATGTTTAAGAAAAGTCACTGAGATGTGGTACTGACCGCTTAAGGAAGTATTACACTTTTCAAGCATCAAAAAAAGGGTTTCAAAAATTTTATTTTTTTCACTTATTAATTTATTTAAAAAAAGAAATTTTTTTATAACATTAGGGGCCTTTAGGGTGCAGTATCCTAAGAGTACGCACTTAATTTTATTTTTGGAATTACTTTTAAACATGAAAGTAAAAATTCACAAATAAATGACTAAATTATAGTGAAGCATCTGTAGAATGGATAGTCTATGTTGAAAGTATAAATATTATCTTATTTTTTTCGTAAATTAAATATTATTGAAGAAAACTCATTTGCGTACTCTTAGGCAGGTCATGTCTAAGAGTACGCATGCCCTCGACTTTTAAAGAGAATCAACATTAATTAATTGAAACCTTCTTAAGAGTACGCCGGTTAACCTACCAATTTACTATTTAGTTATTTCTATTTATAACACGAAGAAACTCATTAATCACTTAATTTCATAAATAAAAAAATTACAATGGCACTCGCTTTCTAACCTTTAATATAAAAATTTAGTAATATAAACCTTCTACAAATCATTATGATTATAAACTATGACAGAATTAAAAAAATAAAAATATTAAAAAATAAGAAAAAGGCATCGATTAAAAATTTTTTTTTTAAAAAGGTTGTTTTGCCCCTTTAAATGACTTTTTTTTTGTTTAAATTGGTTTATAAGAACTTGAATTATACTGTCCTCCAGTTTCAAAAACATCGTTTTGAAAAAAACGCTTTGAAGCATTTAACTCCCAAATGTACAAATTTTTGTGAAAGTTTGACACTGTATTTCAGAACTTAAACTTTATGGAAAAAATTTTGCAATAAACATTATAATATTGTTACAAACTAGAAACAATATCATAAAACAAATGAAAGTATATAAAGAAAGATTCAGATCCTAATTGACGGTCCGCATTCCATAAGGGGTTAAAGATGTCCTAGACGTCGCAGAGTTTGCCCCTAGAATAAATACAATGTAGAGATCGCAAATTTCAACCAATTTAAATTAATTTTTTTAAAATTAAAGGTAAAGTAATTGACTACATATTAATGATCTTAAATTTGGAAAAAAATATTTTGTTGTTTAAATATTTAATGAACAAAATAATTTTCATGAACATTTAGGGAGTGATATTTTTCATAAACAGCTAAATTTCATTTTAAAAGTTTATAAATCACTTAAGAAACAAATAAAATGAAATTTTTTTTGTAATATTACAGTAAAAAAACATTAATGTATTTGTTATAAACAAATAAGTTAATAAATTAATAAAAGTCGATGAATCTGGTTGAAATTAATTACTTGGGGGTTTTCGAGGTCGCTGATTACGAATATGACATTAGTTTTTCAAAATTCAAAATGGCGGGTCCAAAATAGCGGATAATTTTTTTAAATTTGCTTAAATTCGCTTGAAACTTGTTACTCGGGGATTTTCGGAGTCGCTGATTACGAATATGATATTTGTTTTTTAAAATTCAAAATGGCGGGTCTAAAATTCTATCTCCGGCGATAGCCAGTGTTTCATTCAACCTAAACAGCATCAATGTTATATTTGTTTACATATTGCTGTGTGCATCAGCTTTTATTATTTATTTAGTAAAAAATATCCAAAATCATAAAAGTCCTTTGTAATTACATATTTTTAACCAAAAAAAATAATTAAGATATTGTTGTTAATCTCTTTAGCATCTATGTTTTACATTGAAGGGTTATGCCACCTCACGTATTAAATTGAAGCTATTTCCTATAATTTTTTTATCCCTATGGAATAAATTGATATACATTTTTTGAGCTTAATATAAAACACATAAACTGTAGAAACAATTTTTTTAGTTATTAGAACAAATTTATTAATTTTCTGTCACACCTTTTTATTTTGTTAATTAAATATTTAAACAACAAAATTTTTTTTCAAATTTAAGGTCATTAATATGTAGTCGATTACTTTACCTTTAATTTAAAAAAAATTAATTTAAATTGGTTGAACATTACAATCTCTACATTGAATTTATTCTAGGGGCCAACTCTGCGACGTCTTGGACATCTATAACCCCTTATGGAATGCGGCCCTTCAATTGTTCTGAAGACAATGATATTCAAACAACGATATCTCAAGATCTAAAAAAGTCTCCAGGGTGAATTTTTTTTAAATTATAGATAAAATAAAGGCGAATATTACTAAAAAATTAAAAAAAGATGTCGAAATTCAAAAAAAACTCTAAGATAAGATAGGAAAATATACCGCGACTTCTTTTTTACAACTTGTTATTATTAGAATAGAGGGAACAGAAAATAAAGAGAAGAAAGAATTATTAATTTTATTTTATCGTTTTAAATACTGATGACAAATGTATTCCACTCTCTCTTACAAAGAAGGTTGTAGGGAAGAAGGATGGAGTTACAAAAAAAATATAAATTACCCCGGAACGATACTGAGTACTTACCGTTCCGCTGCCTTATTTTACCGTCGGCAATTTCTTTTTGATGGCCAAAAACATAAATTTTAAAAATCGTCCTCACACAATAACTCGCGTGCCTAATTCGCGGTTTGCCGTATGTTCTTT